TAGCCACAAGGGATAGATAGGAACTCTCGGTCTGGGGCAAGGGATGCTCTGTATTCTCGGTGCTGGGGGGGGGTCAACAGTGGGAGGGCTTCTAGTGTCCTGGCCTCACTGATGGACCTCCTGATGGCACTGGTATTTTTGGCCACCGTGTGACAGAGTGTTGGACTAGATGGGCCATTGGCCTGATCCAACATTAGCTTCTCTTATGTTCTCATTCTCACCCTCTCTCATGTGCGCGCACTTTTCGGTTTCTTTGAGTTTCTTCTCTCCACATCTGTGGAAACTCTCAGGCATCAATCTATCAAGGCTGGTAGCTAATGGCAACAACCATATTAGTGTCATGGCTAAGCACTAACAAATGTAATGATTACATTTTCCACAATTCCCTTTTTTCTTCCCCACACATCTCCATTGAAAGGTACCGCTCCCGGGGGCTGGCGTTCTGCTGATCGGAGAACGGCCCCCTAATTTCCACCCATTCTTCAGTAAATGCGGCGTACTTTTCCCGCTTAATAGCATTATGAACCGAGTTTTGCGCTAATTCAGAATTAGATATCTCATTTGCATAAACAAATTACTGTTTGGATTAGCGCTAAATAGTTAAAGACTGCTGATATCGGAGCAGATTTGATTGGGTCGGAATGGCTGTTGGCATAACGGCGGGCGTGCAGAATTTGGAAGCGAGCGGGGCTTGTGACACACGCGTTGCAGGCTGGGCACTGTGACGCCCATAATGAAAAGAAAAAGAAAAGAGAAATTTTTAGACCTTATGGCTGCTGACACCTTGCGCACGGCTTCCGGGGTGGGGCATGTGGCACATGGGGGCTCGGGGTGCTGTTCCTTTCCCTGGATGGTCCTGCAGGGCTGCTTTAGGGGGTTGAGCTGTCTCTGGTTTTGATCTCTCCCCTGCCACGAACTCAGTGCCTCACCAGTGATGGGTGGGGTGGTCCCACAAAAATCTGTGGCCCAGTATTTTTCAAGCAGAGCGTTTATGCTGGCCAGACTCAATATATTTCTCTCGGCTGTGGTCACAGGGAGATACAAGCACATCCCCTATGAGGCAAGATTCTGCAGATGTCTCTGCAAAGAATCTGACTCTGTTCAGCATATCCTGTTTACCCAGCTACATTCACACCTGATTAGTCCCCTCCTCCAGCGCTCTAAGGCTGCAACCAATAGAGGCATTGAACATAAGAACCTAAGAGACGCCAGTGTTGGATCAGGCCAAAGGCCCATCCAGTCCAACACTCTGTGTCACACAGTGGCCAGAAATACCAGGTGCCATCACCTCCTGTGATGATATTGAATTCTTGCTAGCGGATATTGAATTCTTATTGAATTCTTGCCAGCGGACAAAAACCATGAAGTTACCGAGCAGGTGGCAGAGTTCCTGGCAAATGTACTCAGGGGCAAAGAAAAAGAGGAAAGAAAGGTGTGTTTTAATTACTGCATTATTCGAGATGACTGTTCCGAATTTTTATCCTTACTATATACAGCGTTACAAACTGCTGTACTCCGACTATTTCTCTTTGTTGACATATGGGTTGATTTGTACCGCTGTTCTTTTTATAGAGTTATTGCTATGCCAATAAAGGTTATTGGATTTTTTGGGGTGGTGGTGGTGGTGGTAGAAAGTGACATCAAGTTGCAGGCAACTTAGTGACCCCGTAGGGGTTTTCAGTGGAAGGGGAAAACTGCCTTTGCATAGCGACCTCGGAATTCCTTGGTGGACTCCCATCCAAGTGCTCACCGGGGCCAACCCTGCTTAGCTTCCAAGATTTGACAAGATCAGTGGAGACTTACGGCAACCCTGTTGGGTTTTCAAGGCAAGAGTTGAACAGAGTTGGTTTGTCATGGCCTGCCTCTGTGTAGCAACCCGGGTCTTCCTTGGAGGTCTTCCATCCGAGTCCTAATCCGGACCGACCCTGCTTAGCTTCTGAGATCTGACACAGTTGGGCTAACCTGGACCATAGGGCAGTAGAATTATTTGTAGTGTTGTCAGGGGTCATTTCATAGAAAAAGAGGTGCATTAGCATAACTCATTCACATAACTTATTTGCATATGCCACACCCCTGACATCACTGGAAGTGTGTCAGAAGGCAACACCCACCGCTCAGGCGCCACTGGACTGTTTCGGATTGCTGGCTTTTTTGGGGGGGGCGTGCAGATCTGTCCTCACGGAGGAGGGAGAGCTTGTACCTGAATACAACCTGGTCCTAAAGGGTCCACTGGACTGTTTTGTCTCTGCAACTTACCTGGCTGTTTCTTGCTCTGACCGAGGGCTGCTGGGAGCAGGGGGCGGGGCTTGTTGCATGTGCCCGCCCCCTGGGCTCTTTACTGCCGGAGCTCGGCTCCTGTGCGCTCCTGCAAGAAATGACCCCTGAGTGTTGCCAAGGAGAGAATGAAGATTCCCAGTCACTTCCCACAATGAGAAAAGACACCTTTAGACATTTCTCTGCTGGTTTGACCAATTTATTGCTTTACAACTGTTGACCCTATGACCTTCACTTGTTATTTAGTGTCACTTTGCATATCTTGATCATCATCCCGTTGCATGTTGATTTGCTGTTCATGCTCTGGCTATAAGTTTGAACCGTTTTTGCCATTCTGCGTGCGTGCACATGAAACTTCATACCTTGAATAAACTTTTGTTGGTCTTAAAGGTGCCGCTGGACTCTAAATTTGTTGCCAAGAATAGGGGGGGGAAGGGGATAGGGGGGAAATGAAGTGACCTCTCCAAGTCCTTGCAGTTTCCCTGCTTATAATTCATGTTGTCCCCCTCCACACTCACATCCATCTCTACACAAAACCTCTCTTTTCTTTTTAAAACCTGGCCTTTTGAACTGCAACAAACTATGCAGAACAAGAAAATGTCTCAAAATGGGTAGCTATGTTAGTCTGTCTTCAGCAGTAGGAAAGAGCCAGAGTCCAGGAGCACCTTAAAGACTGACAAAACTTCTGGCAGGGCAGTGTCCGATTCCCCATGCATTCGAAATAAATCCACGTTTGAAGAACAAAGTCAAACTTATTATAAAGCGATGGTTAGATCAGGAACACAAGAATTGTTAGGAATAACTACAAACCCAGGAGGGTAACATAATAAAGGAACTTGAACCCGTGTAGGACCAATGAGCCCAATTCCCGCTGGCGGGAATGCAGATAAAACGAGCGCCCAGTTCCTTGGGAACACAACGGTTCTACAACATAAACACAGGGCAGTTCTCAAGCTTCGAATACATAACAAGCCAAGCGATGCCACAACATAATCCCACCTCCAGCTGTTAACCTTGAGCAGTTCCGCAGATGTAGCAAGCAAGAGAAAGTAAACACCTACAGGTGGGGGGAACGGGGAAGAAGGTTCAGAGGTTACAACGTAACATAGCAACTCAATGGCAGCTTGCTGACAGGCAGGAGCCTTCGTGAATCACTGGCTCACTTCTTCACATACATCTTCAGTTCTTCAGGTAGGTATCTGAGGAAGTGAGCCAGTGACTCACGAAAGCTCCTCCCCTGCCACATGCTCTGAGAAAACATCTGTGGATTCCCCCCCATTCCCAGAGTGTATTCTGATCGTTGAGGTTTGCTTGGCTTTGGTTTGGAACCGGACAGAGAAAATGGGCCTAGGGAGCTATTTCAGGGCCTGCTTGAGTGACATTTCATCAGAAGGCCTGGGACGGTGGGAACTCCAGCCAGTGAACTCCACACTTCAGAAAGGATATTATAGCATTGGGGAAAGTGCAGAAAAGGGCAACTAGAATGATAAAAGGGTTGGGGCTGACATGATCGAGGTTTATAAGATTAAGCATGGGATAGAGCAGGTGGAGAAAGAAGTCCTTTTCTCCTTTTCTCAGAATACAAGAACTCGTGGGCACTCCATGAAATTGCTGAGCGGTCAGGTTAGAACAGATAAAAGGAAGCCCTTCTTCACCCACAGAGTGATTAACACATGGAATTCACTGCCACAGGAGGTGGTGGCAGCTACAAGCATGGGCAGCTTCAAGAGGGAATTAGATAAACATATGGAGCAAACGTCCATCAGTGGCTATTAGCCACAAGCTATAGATAGGAACTCTCGGTCTGGGGCAAGGGATGCTCTGTATTCTTGGTGCTTGGGGGGGGCAACAGTGGGAGGGGTTCTGGAGTTCTGGCCCCACTGGTGGACCTCCTGATGGCACTTGGTATTTTTGCCAGTTTGGTGTTGTGGTTAAATGCGCAAACTCTAATCTGGGAGAACCGGGTTTGATTCCCCACTCCTCCACTTGCACCTGGCTGGATGACCTTGGGCAAGCCGTAGTTCTGATAAGAGCTGTTCTTGAAAAAAAACAGCCGTTTCTGTCAAGAGCTCTCTCAGCCCCGCCTACCTCACAGGGTGTCTGTTGTGGGGAGGGGAAGGGAAAGGAGTTTGTAAGCCGCTCTGAGACACCTTTGGGTAGTGAAGGGCGGGGTATACATCCAATCTCTTCTTCTTCTTCTTCTTTTGGCCACTGTGTGACAGACAGAGTGTTGGACTGGATGGGCCACTGGCCTGGTCCAACATTGGCTTCTCTTATGTTCTTACGTTCAGAATGACAATAACAACTGTGAATCCTGTCCCCCAACTGGCTTTCCGACATACCTATTGGCAAGTTCCCAAATAGCTTGATGGACTATGAACGAGTACTGTATGAGTAGTGTACTTAACCACTACACCAGTTTGGTGTAGTGGTTAAGTGTGCGGACTCTAATCTGGGAGAACCGGGTTTGATCCCCCACTCCTCCACATGTAGCTGCTGGATCGACCTTGGGTCAGTCACAAGTTCTTTCAGAGCTGTTCTCTCAAGGACAGTTCTGTCAGAGCTCTCTCAGCCCACCTACCTCCCAGGGTGTCTGTTGTGGGGAGGGGAAGGGAAAGGAGTTTGTAAGCAGCTCTGAGACTCTGAGTGAAGGGAGGGGTATGAATCCAATCTCTTCTGCTTCTTCTTCTTCTGCTGACCAGGACTGTGGTGCTTTGTTGTTGCAGGTCTCTGGTGCTGAATCGTACCCATCCGTCACCCCCGGGGAGCAAGTCCCCAGCTCTGCCGCAGCAGCAGCGATGGAGGAGCAAAGGCCTGCGCTGCATCGGAGGAGTCATGTACAGAGTGTCGGCCAACAAGCTGGCCAAAACCTCCAGCTCCCCGGCCAGGGGCAGTGAACTGACCAGCCGGATGCAGGCTCGGACAGGTAGGACGGCTCAGTGGCAGGTTAGATGCCGACGTTCTCGCTGGACACAGGAGACCGCTGAAGTGAAGGGCGGCCTCCCTTCCGTAGGGGGAAGCCGGTCTCCCAGCTGTGTCGTCGTAATACTCAGGGCTTCTCTGATGGCCACGTCTGCGGTTAAAGCTAACGGCTTAAGTTCCACTGGCCTTTTGCACGTGGCGAGATGGATCCAAGTGCTCTGCAAATCGGCGTGGCGGCGCAGGAGGGGGCATCGAGGAAAGTTGTGTCCATTGTCATGGCTGCCGGTGGTCAAGTCCAAGTGGCGTGGCTCCTGTGGCACTGCCATAAGGACAGAAGAAGAGCCCTGCTGGATCAGGCCAGGGAGGGTCCATCTGGTCCAGCATCCTGCCTCACGCAGGGGCTAGCCAGTTCCTCTGGAGGGCCAACAATGAGGCCGAGAGGCCGAGGCCTTCCTCTGAGAAGAACCTCAGAAGAGCCCTGCTGGGTCAGACCAATGAGGGTCCATCCAGTCCTGCATCCCGTCTCACACAGGGGCCAGCCAGTCCCTCTGGAGGGCCAACAACAGGGCAGAGAGGCTGAGGCCTTCCCCTGAGAAGAACATCAGAAGAGCCCTGCTGGATCAGACCAGTGAGGGTCCATCTAGTCCAGCCTCCCGTCTCACACAGGGGCCAACCAGTTCCTCTGGAGGGCCAACAAACAGGGCACAGAGGCTGAGGCCTTCCCCTGAGAAGAACATCAGAAGAGCCCTGCTGGATCAGACCAGTGAGGGTCCATCCAGTCCAGCATCCCGTCTCACACAGGGGCCAGCCAGTCCCTCTGGAGGGCCAGCAACAGGGCAGAGAGGCTGGGGCCTTGATGCTGCCTCTTGGCTCTGGTATTCAGAGGATCAGTGCCTCTAAATGTGGAGCTTCCCCCAGCCCCAGTGGCCAGTAGCCACTGATAGACCTTATCCTCCATGAATCTCTCTAATCCCTTTTCCAAGCTGTTTATTCCTGTGGCCATCACTGCATCCTCTGCCAATCAATTCCACATTTCCATCCCCCACTGTGTCAAGCAGTATTTCCTTTTGTCCATCCTGAACCTACTGCCCATCAGCCTCATTGGATGCCCTCAAGTCCTCATATTTTGGGAGAGAGAGAGACAAAGTTCTCTTTGCCCACTCTCTCCACCCCGTGCATAATTTTATAAACCTCTATCATTCCCCCCCCCCCGTTTTAGTCATGTCTTCCCTAAACTGAGAAGTCCCAGAGACTCTTCAGCCTCTCCTCCTAGGGGAAGGTGCTCCGGCCCCCTCATCATCTTGGTCGCCCTCCTCTGCACTTATCATAGAATCATGGAATGCTCAGAGTTGGAAGGGACCCTGCAGGTCATCTAGTCCAACCCCCTGCACTTTGCAGGAGCAGAGCCGAAAGAGAGCCCTACAACAGACCCGGAAGATGGTCGTCCAGCCTCCTCCACTTGGAAACGTCCAGCGAAGGAGCATCCACCACCTTCCGAGGCAGATTGTTCCACTGCTCAACCGCTCTCACAGTTAGGAAGACAGAGTCAGGATTCAAAATGATCTAGATAGGCTGGAACAGTGGGCGGAGACAAATAAAATGGATTTCAATAGAGAGAAGTGCAAAGTCCTACACTTAGGTACAAAAAATCAAAGGCACAGATATGGAATGGGAGGGACTTGGCTTGACAGCAGCACATGTGAAAGGGATCTGGGTGTTCTGGTTGATCACAAGCTAAACATGAGCCTGCAGTGCGATGTGGCTGCGAAGAAAGCGAATGCAATCTTAGGATGCACTAACAGAAGCATTGTGTCCAAATCAAGGGAGGTGGTAGTTCCACTCTATTCTGCTATGGTCAGGCCTCACCTGGAGTCCTGTGTCCAGTTTTGGGCACCATATTTGAGGAAGGATGTTGACAAGCTCGAGCGTGTCCAGAAGAGGGCAGCCAGGATGGCGAGAGGGCTGGAATCTAGGTCTTATGAGGAAAGGCTGAAAGAGCTGGGTATGTTTAGCCTGGGAAAGAGAAGGCTTAGAGGGGACAGGATTGCAGTCTTCAAATACTTGAAGGGCTCTCATGTAGAAGATGGAGTGGATCTATTCTCTCTTGCTCTGGATAGCAAGACTAGATCTAATGGGTGGAAATTACAAGGGAGTGGTTACCGGGTAAATATCAGGAGAAACTTCCTCACTGTGAGAGTGGAACAGACTGCCTCGGGAGGTGGTGGAGGCTCCTTCGCTGGACGTTTTCGAGCGGAGGCTGGACGGCCATCTTTCGAGTCTGTTGTAGGGCTCTCTTTCAGCTATGCTCCTGCAGAGTGCAGGGGTTGGACTAGATGACCTGCAGGGTCCCTTCCAACGCTAACGTTCTGTGATTCTATAATTCTATGATATTTAGTTGGTATCTACTCTCTCGTCATTTCCACCCATTAGATCTAGTCTTGCAATCTGGAGCAAGAGAGAATAGATCCACTCCATCTTCTACATGACAGCCCTTCAGATATTTGAAGACTTTCCCCAGCTCTGCAATGTCCTTATTTGCGCTATGGTGCCCAGGACTGCAGAAGGTATTCCAGAGCTCCCAGGGCTCAGCTCGGCCACCAGGGGCCCTCCGGGGCGATGACCTACGGGATGGTTTCCCGGTGTACTAAGGGAGCTACTCCCTGCCTGGACTTTAATTTTATATTTTTTTAATCAGCAAGCATCCTCCCTCAACTTTCCTTCTCAAATTCTCGGCCAGGTCCCCCCCCCCATTTTCAGTGCTCTGGGGAGACAGATTACGCAGAAAGGGTGTTTCATCACCTTCGCGGCCTCCCCAGCCTCCCCCCTGTATCCCCATCTCAGCTATTATCTGCCCACTTTTTAATTTCCCATCAGCAGCGCCCGGCGAGTTAATCCACGGTTTAAGCTAAATCTCCACCCTCTTCACCTGCCGAGATGAGGTGCCGTAAGCATTTCTCACCGCTCCTCTCTCTTCTCCTGGCTTGCCCCTAATTTCCCACTCTCAATTTCCTCTCTCACGCCTTTTACCAGCAATTTGGGGGGCGGGGGGAAGCAGGGCGGTTGGGAAGGGAGTCAGGAGCCGCTTATTCTGCGTCGAGACGTTGCTTTATTTTTCTTTTGGCTCTCAATTTCTGGCCAAGGTTTCGGAACCTCCCCGATCCCCCTTTTCACCGTCTTCTGCTGACAAGGCGCTCGCGTTCATCTCTGGCTCCTCCTAATCCCGTTCTTCACGGTCTTGTTTAGCGGCGGTTTTGGCTCCTCACATTTTCTGTTAACTGTTTTAATTGCTTTGGGTTTTTAAAAACTCATTTGCTGTCCTCATTTAAGTTTCGTTTTGGGGGAAGTGGGGACAGTGAGGAAATTAGGTGCTGACAAGTGGGGGACCCGCGATACTCGCGGGAGAGGAGGACCTCCGCACCTATGAGGAAGAGGAGGAAGCAGCAGGAGGAGGTAAGTTCCCCCCCTATCCCGCCGGTTCCCCGTCTCCTCCACCCCCAAGTGGGGACAGTGAGGAAATTAGGTGCTGATTGATTTTTTCTCTCTGCTTCCTTTAATTTGGGCAAGAACTGACCCCCCCCCCTCACCCAGGCTGGCCTTTGCCTCTCCTGCTGTGAAATCGGGGTGCTTTTTTGCCTGTTCTGGGAGCTTTGCCGAAGCGTTCCGAATCTGATTAGGCCATAATCAACAGGGCCCAGGTGTGAGCACCAACTTCGCTCTTGTTGATCGTACCTGGCTTGATTTCCTCTTAGCGGGCTGGCAGGAGGGGGCCGTCGGACAGGGAGGACCATCTCTGGTTCTGGCATGGTCTCTTGGCAGGCTGGAAAGACATCGTCCTCCTGCAGGTGCTGCTGTCTTGGGGATAACTGCTGGGTCCCCCGCCCCCAGTTTGGTGTAGTTGTTGACTGCGCGGACTCTAATCTGGGAGAACCGGGTTGGATTCCCCACTCTTCCACTTGCACCTGGCTGGATAAGAGCTATTCTTGAAAAAGAGCAGTTTCTGTCAGAGCTCTCTCAGCCCCACCTCCCTCAAAGGGCGTCTGTTGTGGGGAGGGGAAGGGAAAGGAGATTGTAAGCTACTCTGAGTGAAGGGCAGGGTATAATTCCAATCTCCTCCTCCTTCTCCTTTTCCTCCTCCTCTTCTTCTTCTTAGATAACTCTCTTTTCAGTGTTTCTTTCTTTTGAACATCTCTTGAGGCAGTTTGGTATAGTGGTTAGGAGCACAGACTCTAATCTGGGAGAACCGGGTTGGATCCCCCACTCCTCCACTTGCACCTGGCTGGATGACCTTGGTCAAGCCTTAGTTCTGTCACAGCTGTTCTTGAAAAAGGGCAGTTTTTGTCAGAGCTCTCTCATCCCCACCTCCCTCACAGGGTGTCTGTTGTGGGGAGGGGAAGGGAAAGGAGTTTGTAAGCCGCTCTGAGACTCCTTTGGGTAGTGAAGGGTGGGGTATAAATCCAATCTCCTCCTCCTTCTCCTCCTCCTCCTCTTCTTCTTCTTCGGATTTTGGAGTCTTTTCAGGAGCTCTCTGTCCTTGGTACTCTCTTTTCAACATCTCCCTGCCTTTGCCTGCATTCAGTCCCTGAATCTTTCCAGGCCCACGGTGGAGGCTGAATCCGGGTAGAGGTTGTGGCTCAGTGCTAGAGCATCAGCTTGACTTGCGGAAGGTCTGTTGTTCCATCCCTGGGAACTCCAGTTAAAAAGCGCCACGCAGTAAGACAGTCGGGAGGACCTGACCCTGTGATCGTAACTTCCGGGCAGGAACCTGTGGGAGAAGGTGGTTATACCAACCCAGAAATCCCAAACCAAAAATTAAAACCATTGCCTATAGAATCTTGAAAGGCAGCAGATTATTTCTTGCATTTTGGTGGTCGCCTTTTAAGAAGAAGAAGAGGGGGAGATTGGATTTATACCCCGCCCTCTACTACCCAAGGGATTCTCAGAGCGGCTTACAAACCCCTTTCCCTCCCCCTCCCCACAACAGACACCCTGTGAGGCAGGTGGGGT